TGCATGGAGCTTTCTGAAATTGTCATGATTTTAGGTACCTTTGTTAATGTTTTTATTATATTTTTATTATTATAATTTACTTTGTTATTATACAATACTACTGATCTTTTACATTATCAATATTTTATATGAACTGTTGAGATTAATAAATCACATTTCCTTCCCTTACACTTGTGGTAAACTTATTAACATTATTTAGTTTTTTTTTTAAAAGCATTTTATCAACACTCTTTCATAATATTCTTCATGCTGTTAGACATTTCTAAAAGATCATAATAATAATATCTATTATGTTATTACTATATCTACAGGTTAAAACACATAATGAAATAGGATATATATTAATATTAATATATTATCTATTTTTTATTTATTCTGTTCATATTATTGAAGAAAGTCCATCTAATGATCACAATGTTTAAACAATTGTATACAAGCAGGCATTACCCATTAACAATATACACAAACAGTGTTAAAGAATATGGTGGAGATTTCCTTAATATTAAGATAATACTCAGACGATATAGAATTTTTTTCTTGTATGATATATTGATGTAGGTTTTTTTATACTATGGTTTCAATAGAAAGTTGGTCAAGTCATCTATTTCATTTTTTCTAATTTAATTGTTCCTCTTTAGTTGTTAATTCATATACTTGTAAATAAAGATAAGATTCATTAACTTTTGTTTACCTGAACATCTAAAAAAAATATATATATTAATATGGACTTGAATTTTATGATTATTAATAAAGATTGATCTTTATTAGAAGGATATGAGGCATATTGATGCCAAAATAAAAATTTTACTAGTGTTATTTTACTGTTATAATTTTACATTTGTATCTATTATGAATTGCGATTGGCAAAAATTTTCAATAGTCACATTACATGAATCAAAAGTCCACTATGCTTATACATGATAGCATAGTGGAATTTCGTAATTATCACGAATGTGACTTAAAATGTTGATCTTTTTTATATTGTGTAATGGTAATTTTAAAGTACTTTTCAATTGGACGTTTGACCTTAATGTGACGTAAAAACTTTTTATCAAAATTGTCAAACCAACTTTATAGTCGTATTTTTCATATTTTTTTATATTACCAACTTTCTTCCATCATTTTCCATCACTTTCCTGGAGGAGTTAGCTAAGAACCAAAGTTTATAAGAAAGTAATAGTTAAAGAATATATAATACTGGTATACATTAATTTTGGTGACTCTTAACCCATTATAATATTTGTTTTTTATCATATTATTCAGCAAGGTATTTGTTTCATTAATATTGATATTAATATTAAAATATTTATTGTTTTTATTATTTTTGAAATCAATACATTTCAAGATCAATAAATTTAATAAATTTATTTATTATATATAGTTATTATAGGGAGGCGTTTTTAAGATTTTACACATTAAATTACACTTGGGTAATATTATTCATGTTTGGTTAATAAATCCTCACAAATAAATATTATAGTTTTTAGAAGCAATATGTTTCACTACTCAAGTACAATTTATATTTCACAATTAAATATTTTTTCAAGGTCAACGTTTTCAAATTCCAAATTTACTACTTCTTCACTTTATCAATTAAGATTAAGGTTAATTCTTTATTTAAATACTATTATAAATTAATTTTTAATGAATACATGATACCACTAATTATAATTTATGCTATTTATTGGTAGTGATAATATCACCAATTTATTAGATTGTCTATTGCTATCCAAAGTATTGTGAGAATTATCAGAGCCAATATTTGAGTTATTGTCATCATCATCATCATCCTCATCCTGCAGGTTATCAATTTCTATATCTTCTGTAATTGTGTTCTTGTTTTTATTTAAATTTTTTACAAACTTTTTAACATTTTCATCAATTCCTTTTTTTATAATAATTTTCACAGTATCTACAGACTCTTTCTAATGTGTTATAACATGTTAAATGATAACCATATTCACTAATTAAAACTATTACATCATCAAGATTATTAGAAAATGCTTCTTTACAATGATCACAAATATTAAGAGATGGTATACATTATGTATGATAACCAGTTGGTAAGCATTTTATATCCACAATGCAATTAAGTGAAGCTAAATAATATGGGGTGATTTCTTTGAAAAAGGTGGATTAACTTGATCAGGTTGAAGCATATAACTTTTGCCGATATTTCTTGGAAATAAGATAACAAAAATACTGGTTTTTTTAACAAGAAATTCCAGCTGATTAGGCTTATATGGGTAAATATATGGTTTTTTAAAGGTATCAACAAAAACTGATTTATAGGAATCTAAAGGAGTTCATTAAAAAATATTAATTCATTTTCTTAATGTTTGTATTATATATATACACACACACACTACCCAGGCAAAAGTTTGTGAATGATGTTTTTTGTTAATTACACAAAATGTTACATAATAGCAACACATAAAATTTTAACATTATACAACCTATGTTCTTGTTCGTTTTTGTATAAAATTTGATGTATTTTGTATTTATAGTATTTTATTAATTAAAAAAAAAAAAAATTGATTAAATTTTAAAATGTTTACAGTTTCTCAAAAATTCTCATAATAAAAATATTTAAAATTATATCATATAAAAAGCTATAATTTTGTGAATAAATTATATGATTCTAAATACTTTAATGCATCTAAATTTTATTTCTTTATTATTTTTTTCTAAAATCATGATTTGCAAAAAAATTCAATTTTAACTTTTTGATGATCTTTCAAAAAAAAGTATTTCGTTTTTTTTAATTAATAAAGTATTAGAAATACAAAATACATCAAATTTTATACAAAAACGAACAAGAACATAGGCCATATAATGTTAAAATTTTATGTGTTGTTATTATGTAGCATTTTGCGTAATTAACAAAAAACATCATTCACAAACTTTTGTATGGGTAGTGTGTGTGTATATATATTTTTGAACTTATCAATTACAAATGCCTGATTAATAATTGATTCTGCATTTTGATTTACATTAATATTAGCATGTAACCTGCTGTGAAAATTTTCAACATAATATTCATTGAAATTAACAAGATGATTCTCCAATACATTTGCAAAAGGATTTTGATTTTCTTCCTAGTATATGTAATCTGAAATAAATGCCAGTATAATCTTATTATAATTTTTTCTTTTCCATCTAAGAGCAAAGTCCAGATTCTAAATAATGACAATTAAATTATTTTGTATTTTCCGTATAATAAAGATTGTGTAGGTCGTGTAACGTGATAATTTCGAATGTCGATCAAAAACAAAATTCCACTATGCTGGTTTGACTGTACTTGTAAAACGTGATTTTTTATTTTTTACAATTGACCAATAACATTTGACAATGAAATCAAATGTCCAGAATTTCTTTTTTTTTCGAGTATGTTTAAAATACAGAGATTTGATTTTGATAATACTTCTGTAAATGTCCTTGAAAATTCAAAAAATCGTCTTGAGCAAATAAATGGAAAGGTTATTTTAAAAAGAAAACGAATTTCAAAAGAACTTCTGACAAATGGTAATAGCACCAAAAAAACCCCAGTTTCACAACAAAAATTAAAAGATAATTATAATAGTGATATATCAAAAAATAAGGAAAAAGAAAAAACATCACTATTACAAGCTTTCCCATGTTTTCATCAACAAAAGTTGACTCCTGAAGAAATTTCATCTTCAAAAATGTTGGGAATACCAGATTGGTTGGCAAATCCTACCATTATTAATTCGTCTTCAGTCTATTCAATTGATGACAATAATTCATTAGGCTTATCAGAAAGATTAATAAATCATTGTAAATCATTAGGGATCACAGAGTTTTTTGCAGGTACTATTATTGTTATTTGCATAAAGATAATTCTTCAATTGAATACATGTATGCATCCCATTAATTCTATTGATTTTATTAATTAGTACAAGCATCAGTTATTCCACTATTATTGAGAAATAAAAATTTATATGATTTACATAAATCATTTGGTGATATATGTGTTTCTGCTCCAACTGGAAGTGGAAAAACTCTTACATATGTTTTAACAATAATTGAAGTTTGTTTATATTATTATTGGATTATTATTGAATTACCAATTACTTATTAATATACAATAAATCAATAATAATATCATTATTAGATTCTTTCAAAACGTATTGTAACACGTTTAAGAGCCTTAATAGTTTTACCAACAAAAGATTTAGCTATGCAAGTAAAAGAAACATTTGAAGCATTTTGTAAGAATACAAATTTAAAGGTTGGCATTATGGAAAAAATTTTTAAACTTAATAATTAAATAACTCAAAACCTAATATAATGTCAATTGATTTAATTGAATGGGTGGTTTTTTAAAGATTGGTGTAATAACAGGCCAGCATTCATTTGCTCATGAACAAGAACAAATTGTTGGAAATTCCAAAGAAATGTAAAAGAATATAAACACATACATTTATTTATTCTTTTTTTTTCCAAAAAAGTGAATTATGATAAATTTTTTTAACAAATAGCTTAATAGGAGGTAACAGCAAAGTCGATATTTTGATTGCAACCCCAGGAAGATTAATTGAACATATTATGAATTCATCAAATTTCACATTACAACATTTAAGATTTTTGGTAGAGTAGAAAATCATTTATTATCATTATCATTATCATTATCATTGCAATGTGATATTACAAGTATTATTTATTATTAATATTATCATTGTATAATTTATTTAAAACCCCTCTTTTCCTCCCCTTTTTTTCAAAAGGTTATTGATGAAGCTGACCGTTTACTTAATCAAAGTTATAATAATTGGTTAACTTTTGTTCTTAAATCAAAAAATAATTTGAAAAACTTAAATATTAACAAAGTAAATGAGGTTGACAAAATAAAAGAATTAAATGATTCTGTCTCAATGTCAATCTTTGAAGATGTGTTTTCAATTCCCAAATCCACTATTACAGAAAAAAAAACATCACCGGTAAATATTCAATTTTTAAATATTTTTTTTATTGGAAAAATTTAACTTTACCATTTGCATATTAGATGCAAAAACTTTTATTTTCTGCAACACTTACACGAAATCCAGAAAAGATAGCAAATTTACACTTGATAAATCCAAAATATATTTCAATAATGTCAATTGAAGAAAATGAAACTGGACTGAATAAATATTCTTTACCAAAAAATTTAAATGTAAATATTTTCATCAATTCCTTTATTAAATATTTTGTAAACTAAAAAATATTAATAAATGTATGCATAATTGGTTTAATTAACAGGAATATATGATAATCACATTTTCATCACTTAAACCTCTAATAGTTATACATTTGATAAACAATCAAAAAATATCTTCAGCTCTTTGTTTTACTAAATCTGTTGATTCAGCTCATAGACTCAATAAATTAATTGAACTATTTCAGGAAATTTATTTAAATGAAAATAATAAGAAAATTAGTTCTAATATCATTTCAAAAGAATATTCAAGTGACTTATCACAAGATGAAAGGAAAAAATTACTAAAAAAATTTAAAAATGGAGAAATCAAAATGTAAGCACATAATCATAATCATAATCTTAATAATCACAATCATCATCAAAAATTAACTTCTTAACTTCATTATATTTTAGACTTATATGTTCAGATTTAATTTCTCGTGGTATTGATATAGATTGTGTTGATACTGTTATTAATTATGATGTTCCTATTTATATGAAAAAATATATACATCGTGTTGGTAGAACAGCTCGTGCAGGAAGACAAGGTGATGCTTATAGTCTGGTGGAAACACATGAGGTATTTAGTATGTTATTAATATATCTATTAGTTTTAAATCTAAAATTACATATTAATAATAAATTTCAAGGCCAAACATTTTAAGGAAATGCTTAAAAGATCAGGACATTTAAAAAATGTTAAGAAATTTGATATTAAATCAACTGCTTTGGATCCTATGATGACAGCTTATCAGGTAATAAACAAACAAACATATATGTATATGTTTATTTATATTTACAAACATATGTGTATATGTTTATTTATATTTACAAACATAATATTTAATAACAATCAATTTGATTGGTTTTATAGAAGGCTTTAGATTTGTTCAAAGAGTATATGTCAAGTTATAAATTATCTGTAACAAATTATCATAGAACCATGACTTCTAATTCAATTAATAATATTTAAACATTTTGAATAAAATTTATTAGTTGCTTAATAAATCACATCTCTATTTATACCCATAGGCATTGAGTTGATGTTGAATACCCAGTCCTTTGGCTTTGATTTGAATTTTTTTTCTTTTTATGTTCATAAAATTCTTGACTCTTTATCTTACATTTCTCCTCTAATTCACAGCTTTATATTTCCATCCAACTTCTTTAGATAAATGTGAAATTACAACCTGGTTTCAACTTCCAAACTTATATTTTTAAATGATCAACATTATGAAATTTTATAAGGTTTATGCAGATCTTTTTGTTTGAATTTTTAAGAAAGAGTCAGTACACAACTTTTTATGGTGAATATTGGTAGATTTCGGACAGCTTTGAAAGGCAGTTTAAGACATATTTTAAATAATTCTTCTAAATGAATGTTCTGTAAAACATGTCCTAGCCATAAAAGAAAAAATGTCTTTGCACAAAAAGGTAAATAAAATGCATATATTTTAATAATAATATAATTATATGGGCTCTACAAATATTTCTTATGTCTCACTCAACATTATTAGAAGATGAATTCTGTGGATAAAGCTCTGAATGAGCTGTGCCCTCAAGCCAACCCGAAACTTAATACTTTTTTTTTATAAACTAACAATTTTGGAGACCATTGAAAATAATTGAAGCAATAATATGCTTGAATTTTAAAACTTTTATGACAGCTAAAAATTCTGAAAATTCAAGAACAATTCTGTGTATTAATATCTGTTTCCAATAAAAAATGTTTTTTAGGAATATATCAAAATTACTAATCATGTTTTCAATGAATGAATAGGACACCAGGTAATTATAAATGAACTATCATCCCACAGCAAAAATCAACTAAATTTGTCATCCTGGGCCATTTTAAAAGCTATGGACATGAAATTTTGTCAGAACATCTAGTTTTTTATCCTAAATTTAGACAAATGTGTTGCTGCCAAATCATCTTGAACATAGTAAAATACATAACCAATCAATAAATATTTTGAAAAAATCTCTCTGGTTATGATAAAGTTTGGGTCAATAAAAAGGATCGACAGAAATGGGGCTTCTATTTTTTTAATAATCACGTGCAAAAATGGTGGTTATATAGTGCAGGACACCTAGTCCCTACAACTTTTATTAGTCTTGCAAATCCTTTAACTCCTCCAAAAATGGAAATGTGTGACCAAAAAAACAAGATGACATTTTGAAGCTAAGACCTTTTTCTACAAAATGACATTTTCATTTTGTTGATATGCCATGTTGTTGTGGAGGAATTAAGCCTTAAAGTTGCACAATTTTAACAAATTTACTATGTTAATCCCCCAAAGTGACGTGTTACACACAAATTTTTTATGTTAAAAATGAATGAATTGGAAGAATTGAAAATTTTGAAATCTGTATTGCGGATCTTTTGTCACGTGACACTAATAAAGAGAATGCAACGTGACAAACCTATTTTTAAAACACGTGACTGTAAAAATTTTATTGCATTTTTGATTGTGAATTTTTTCCCAAATCTGTCGCCGTGGCGCAGAAAGTTGTAGGGACTAGGTGTCCTGTACCATAGACTTCACCATATTTGTGTTTATCAATTTATACTGATGTGTAACACCCCAACGTGCGTGGTATCCCACCAAGGAATGTGATCAGCTGCAGATCACAAAAAAAAACATATATATAACCAATCAATATTAGTTTTGATTTTCTTAGAATGTCGCGCACCCCATTGTACAATAATGATAAACCAATCGTGTAACAGAAATAACCTCTTCCACAAAGTATCATTTGACCAAATAAATAAAACTCAAAATTATTTTTATCATTTAAACGAATTCCTTTTGAATAATAAATTATCATTTGATAGATAGTATACCTGTTTTAAAAGGTAACTTGACCTTTTATTGACTCATTCTTTTATTGTAATTGCTTGTTTCGTTTTTTTTTAATAGATATTTTTATTTATTGGACAGGAAATTTTTTATTTTTCAAAAAAAAGCAGAGAATATATTTGCAACATTAAATAGTTTTTTTTAAAAAATCTCCCACTTTCTTTTTATTGTATTTGGTATATAATTATTAATCTCAACATAGAAAAATACCATGTCACTCTTTACTAAATATTCTCCATGACTCCTAAAACACGGTCACTTATTAATAACAAGAGTCCCATTGATATTGAACCTTATAAAAGTAAATTTTTTACAAGTGTCTATAGTTCCGAAGAATCTTCAATAGAAGGTTTAAAACAAAAAAGTATTAATGAAACTACTACAGAAGATGAAAGTGAGGAAGAATTAAAACTAAGTTCAAGAGGTCTTGTTCAAATTGTAGGTTCATTGGATATATCGTTGTTGGATAATGACGCTCCTTTATTATTCAATAATCAAGTCGATGAGTTTGACGGTGTTGTGTTTCTTTAATTACTATGTTATTTTTACACACGCGTGTATTTTTTATCAATTACTAAGTATTTATTTATTTTATATCGTAGTTACTTTAGATCCTCCCTCTAACTCGCTACAATTAACAACACGTAACGTTCGTAAATATGATGATCCATTGGAAAATAAAAGACGTCAAGGTATTATGTATTTTATAATGATTATTTTATTTTTATTTTAATAAAAAATTAAATCGCTCAACAAAATAAAAAACGCGGTAAATTTAAAATAATAGGAAGACTGCTATTGGTATCATTACTAGAAAACTTTTGTTTATTATATGATACAAATCCAGAAAGAAATCATGAACTATTTTATCTTATATGTAAAAATTTAAGTACTATGGGTATAATTGAAGAAGAGGTTAGTAAAATATACGACATTTTTATTTAAAAAAGAAATTTTTGTTTTATACATATAAATATAAAAAGATGCCAGTATTCTCATTATAGTTTTAAAAAAATGAATTATGTCATGTTTAACACCTTATTAAATTCCTGAAGCACATTGATGAGATGTCTACCGTTCGCTCCTCTTATCAACGTGCTTTCAAAGCTTTGGTCATACAAGCTCTTAATTCAATTAAACAAGAACGTTTAATGAAGGAATCTCGTTTACTTATGCCTTCTTGTCCAGAAACTGATTTAGATAAGCCCGATAGACATTCTCCTCATGATAATAAACTTCCGTATGTATTTGGTGATAAATTATGATATTTAGATAATGATAATATTATATCAATGCATTTACAATATTTTAATTTGCAAAATTTACTTTCTTTTTTTAATATCCTTCACCCCAAAAATAGTTATTCTGCAAAAACAAAAAAAGATAACTCAAACTCAAAAGTTTTAAAAAATCTTTCGTTCGGTGATATTTTGGACCTTGAGAATAGTCGTTACTCCAATGATTTCATTGAACTTAAATTATTAGGTAAAGGTGGATTTGCAAGTGTTTGGAAGGTAATAATAATAATAATAATTTCTTTTTAAAAAAAAAGAGATTTTTAATTGGTTCAATATTTCGATATACATATAGGCTAAAAATAAATTAGATGGTAGAGAATATGCCATTAAAAAAATCAGATTAAGAGGTGATAAAATTCCTGAAGAAAAAGAAAAGGTGATGCCTTTTTCTTTTATAAAACAATATCAAAATAATAATAATAATAATAAGTATTATTTATTATCATCATAAAATATTGTAGATATTTCGTGAGATTAAAATCCTTGCAAGATTAGAACATACAAATGTTGTGCGTTATTATAGTTCATGGCTCGAACATATCAGTAGTAAACAACGTAGTAACGAAGATGAGACATCATTATTGTTAAATTCCGAAGAAAATTCTTCGCGTGTTGAAAGTTCAAATGGATATCATTCTGATAACGAGTCTAGTATCAATTCAAACCAAGATAGTTCTGATATTTTTAGAATGTCTTTTTCTGATGATGATGGAATTGATTTTGTTGATGATATTTCTGCGGCTGGAAAATTAAATAGTGATTTTAATAACACTCCTACTCACACCACCAACACCAACTATATTTATAATAAAAAAAATAATAACAGACTTTCCCAAAACTATGATACTTTTAAAGCCGATAAAATAAGTCATTCTCATATTCCAAAAGATGTTGAATCTTTGAATCTTGAGAAAGATTGGGTGCTTTTCATTCAAATGCAGTTATGTAATAGTACATTGCGCGATTATTTAAAAAAACGTGATTCCAATATATTGGCGCCAACAACTGATCTGTTAAGCTCCGTTGATCATAACATCATAATCGATTTATTTAGAGGCATAGTACGTGGGGTTGCATACATTCACGATCAAGGGTTGATTCATCGAGATCTCAAACCCGGAAACATATTTATTGGTGGCCTTGCAGATGGTGGGCAAGATAATTTGGTTGTTGCCAATAATTTATTATCTTTTTCTAATGAACGAGTAGTACCAAAAATCGGCGATTTTGGATTAGTAACTGCAGTAGATGGCGATCACACCTACTCAACAATTGATAATTCAATAAATAGAGGATTAAAAGGATGCGTAGAAAGTGATCATGGTTTAAAAATTAATAACAAAAATAACTACAACAATAATAATAGCCAAACAAAATCAGCTTATTCTTCTTCTTATTCTTCAAAATCTAGAACTACTGGTGTTGGCACTATAACTGTAAATTAAATTTCATTTATATATATATATTTTTATTATATTCTTATTTTGAAATTTTAAAACTTTATTACTATTATTAATAGTACGCTTCACCTGAACAACTTGCAAGGCCCCCACAACCTTACAATGAAAAGGTTGACATCTATTCATTAGGAATCATATTCTTTGAATTGCATTTTTCATTTTCCACAGGGCATGAACGTGCTCAAGTTATTAAAAATCTAAGAAATGGAATATTACCTAAAGGGTTTGTTAAAAGATTCCCAAAAGAGGTTCATATACATATTTATTATTGTTATTTTGTTTTTATTATATTGTATATTTTTTAAAAATGTTTATTTATAGGCAGCATTCATTTTATGGATGATGGCAGAAGATCCCGATAAGAGACCAAGTGCAAAACAAATTCTAGATTTTGAATTATTGTCAGATTCAAATCAAGTAGTTAATTAATAATAATAATAATTACAATAATTTATGATCATCATTTATTCCTCTAATTTAAATTACTATTTTTTTTTAATTTAGGAAGAGCATTCTAAAATACAACTTAGACTTGTTGAAAGTACACATAAATTAGAAATGGTAACACAAGAAAATGAAATTTTAAAGAAAAAAGTTGCAGAATTAGAAGAAAAATTAAAAAAATATGAAAATCTCATTACTTATAATACAAAAGGTGCTTCATAGTAAAAAAAACGCTTTCATACACAACCACAACGTATAGGGGAATCGATTTTTTGAAAGTATGAGGTAATCAAATATATTAATTTTCCTGGTCTTGCTTTATTTTTTATTTTATAAGGTCCCATACATGCCTATGATTTATAAATAAAATTTACAAATGTATAGAATGAATAAATTAAATTTTTTTTTTTATTTATTTAAAAAAAAAATACCGATTTTCTTTTTATAAATTATTATAAGGAAACCGTTAATAATAAAATAAAAGATACATATATAAAAAAACCTACTTAAAAGTTTTTTATCTAGTTGGTGATTTTTGAACACGTATTATAATTTCTTTACTACTTCTTAAAACCCTTCTTCTTGTTTTGAAAATTGGTTGATCACCTTCTTGATTATCAGCATCTTGATGTCCATTTGAATTATTTTCATTGTTTCGGTTATCATCACCTGTTTTAACTTCCGGTTTTGAATCATCATCAATAGAATTCATTGTTTTACGTTTAGTAGTTCCTTTATAATTACTGTTTTTACTAATATCATTATTACAATTACTATTGTCACTTTCATCATTGTTGTTATCTTGAAATGTTGATGATCTATTATTGTCATAATCATTCTTTACTTTATCCTTTGATTTTTTGCTTACATTATATTTATAATCATCATCATCTCTTTTATTTCTTTTATTTTTATTATTTGGCATTGTTGGTGATTCCACGGTATCATCATCGCTTATATCCATTTTTTCTTCTGTTTCTTGGTTTTCTTCAGAATTTTCTGATACCATTTCTTCATTATCATCATCAATATCCATAACATCAAAATCATCATCATCAAACATATCATCAAACTGAATCACCTCACTCTCACTATCAAAATTATTTCGACTATAATCACCATTTATTACAGCCCGGCCCCAATGCTCTCTGTCAACCTCACCACCATAATATACAAAAAGCTCTTCTCCTTTTTTAATTTCACGTTTTGTCAAACATATAACTTGGTTGACAGTGCTTCCTTCAATAAACACCATATTACCAAATGGATCTTCATTCATAAAATGGAAAGGACAAAAAATTTTTCCTTGTGGATTAGTGAATGGCTCGCCATTATCATCAGTTGCATCAAGTATTGTCTTCTTATATCTCATTGAATAATGTGATGATCTGCCTACTTCATCTTTATGTTGATCAAATTCATCTTCACTCATTGGAATACCAAAATAAAATCCTAAAGGTGTTGATGTTGGAAGATTTCTTTTGGCAAATAATCCATTACCAGCATTTAAAATGGTAGACTCTTTAACTTCAACCACATCAGATAAACTTTTTGGTACATTAGTCAGGTCCAATCCACTCATGAGTTCCTCATCCGTAGCAGCAGGAATTTTTTCAATGTCAAGCGAATCCTCATCATTGTCATAAATACTTTTTGATGTTCTGGTTTGGTGCTTTTTGTTTGAAGTATTTTGTTTGAGTTTGGTAATAGTATGATGAGAATGCTCAACTTTTCGTAATGGATAGATGCACAAAGTTCTTTTTGCCCGGCATTTTGAGCATAATGGCAATTTAGCATCACAAACTGTATCTGCTGGACATTGTCGACATCTCAAATTTGTTTGTGTGGCTGCTCCCACACTCAGCATAATAACACATCCACTATTTACTAATGCAGAACCTTGTTTGGTTTTTTTTAATTTACCAAAACATAAAGGCCAATCATGTCGTATCAATTCTTCCATCCAATTATTATATTTATTAACAGCTTCTTCAACATCATTGGGTATGAATGCTAATTTATAATATATATCTTTTGAATGAGGAATAGTAAATTCTTTAAAATATTTTTCTGAATTGTGTGTCAAACAAGCACTAACTGAAACTTTTGGCGCCTAACAAATATATATTTGAAAAAAGTGTTAATATAATCAATATGAAATAATGCTGTCATCCAATAAAAAATCAATTATAAATGCGTGATAAATCACCTGACCACCAAAAACTCTTGGTAGTCCTGTTTCGGCACTTAACCTTTCATCTAAAGCAATTGATGCATCAATCAACTCATTATGTGACATTGAATAATTTGGAGCATTTTGTAAAATTTTAAGAATCAATTGTTGTTGGTTATGCCAGCGAGGTCTTTGTAATGATTTTTTATTGTTTTTTTGACAAGTCCTTTGTATATCACAATTTATATTTCTTTTTGAGCTGTGAAATAATGTCAATGGTACACATTTTGGAATATAGTCCTTCAAAAAATTTTCACTAAAAACTTTTTGTTGATAAGGCACATTTATTTGTATTAAATCTTTTAATTTGTATCCTGACTCGACAGTGATTTTTTGCAGACACATAAAAAATTGATCCATTCCAGTTTTTTGATTGTTGTCAAGACTTTTTACAAACTTTACGACATCTTTTAAGAATGGATATAATATGTATACATTCCTTTCAAAATTGTAGCTGGCCAAACAGCTATTTAAGAAATTTGAAAGAACATCGCATGCATCTATCCAATCATTATGTGACTGCGTTAAAATTGATTTTGCTATTTTCATAAAATTTGGATCAACATTAATACTTGAAGGCTTTCCATTAAGATTGTTATTTGGTAATAATATCGAGACTAAAACTGCACTGATCCTATTAATTGTTTCCCCAGATGCATGTTCAGGATGAGGTGTTATACTAAGTATTTTTTCGATTAATTTTATTCGACTTGCAACATTCATCTGATTTAAATTTGATATTGCAGTAGCAAATGTGTTTAGTGGAAGTGTCGATAATGCATTTATAGAAATTTCTTTAATGATTTCTCCCCAGGCTTGTTCATAACTCAATCCTTTATCTATTTTTTCAGCAATCCGTGGCTCCAACCATTTTTGCAACATCTGTGACATTTCAACTTTTACTTGAAAAGCATTTACCATTTTTTTTTAAATAAAATTAAAAAATAATTATACACAAATTGTATTTTATACTGTAAAGATGGGGAAAAAGAGTAATTTTTGATTAAAAACTCATTTGTTTGTTACTATTCACATTTGATTTTAGCCTTTTAAAGAAAGTAATACAGAAAATTATAAATAAAATTTGATTGGATTGAATCCATCAAATCTATCAATCAAATAAATACTTTAAAATGGTTAAAGAACTTGAAATATCAAACAATGAAAGACAATTTATACTAAAAGCTATAATAGAAGGTTATCGAATTGACAATCGAAGGAAATCTGACTTTAGAAAATTAAACATATCATTTGGTCAAGAATTTGGTAAAAGTGAGGTCACATTAGGATCAACTAGGTATTTGTATAAACATATAAAGGTATACAGAAAAAATTTTTTTTTATTTAAGAGTTTTTATATTATATGGTTAGAGTACTGGCAAAAGTCTCATGTCAAGTAACACGACCATACCAGGATCGACCTAGTGAAGGTATATTGATTTTAAATAGTGAATTATCACAAATGGCTTTTCCTAATTTTGAAATTGGAAGGTAGGGGTTAAGTTTTTGTTTTTGTTTTTTAACAAAGTTTTTTTTTAAAAAAATACCATCTCTTTATTGTAATAATAGACCTGAGGAAGTTCTTGTGAATCGTATATTGGAAAAGGCTATAAAAAGAAGTAGAGCTATTGATACTGAAGGGTTGTGTATTTTAGCTGGAGAGAAAGCAAGTTGATTTTTTTTAATAAAATAAAAGATCAAATTAGATTTAATCATTTAATATATAAAGGATAATTTTTTTGATGCAATCAGGTATGGACAATACGAGTTGATATACATTTTATTGATAATGATGGAAATATAATTGATGCAGCATGTATTGCTGCAATATCAGCACTTTCACACTTTCGAAGACCTGATGTTACTGTTATTGGACAAGATGTTACAATAGTGAGTATTTTCTCTACATATTATATTTTTTCTATTAGTTATATATATATTATAATAACTATAATACTTTATAGCATCCCATTGAGAAAAGGAATCCTGTTCCATTAAGTGTGCATCACATGCCAATATGTGTGACATTTGCTTTTTTTGAAAATGGGTAATAATTATTTATTTTATAAACATATAATTGAAACTTTGAAATTTTTCAAGGAGACTCTTTAATCATTAATATATCATGTATACATATACATATTATCTCTAAAGTGAACATTTTGTGGTAGATCCTACACTTCAAGAAGAACAAACCAAATCAGGTGATATGACTATTACATTAAATGATCATAAAGAAATCTTTGCACTGTCAAAAGCAGGTGGCGTAGCATTGGAAATAGAAACAATTAAATATTGCACAAAGATTGCAACTACAAAAGTAAATTGGCTTGCAGAACAAATTAAATTAGCATTGGAAAAAGACAATGAAAAAAGGTAAATCTTTTATACTTTTTTTTTAAAAAAAAAATTAATTGTTTTAAATAAACAAATATATACATATAGAGCTACAAAAAACATATATTAATTATGGGAATATTAGTAAGTTTTTTCTAATTCAAATATATATTTGTATGTGGCTGAGGATTAATAAAATATTGGAAAAATTTGTTTTATTATTATTATTTTATGATAAAGATACATAATTAATTTGCTCCACAAGAAAATAAATTAACCAGGATAACCCAAATTATTGTTATTTTTATATTAGCAGCTGCAAATTTGTTACATGATTTCAAATGAATTTTAAATCATTATGTTTTAGTTTTTATAGATTGTACAATCATGTAACATAGCCAGAATTGACAAATTTTTGGTATGTGCATGATAATTTGAGCCAAAATTATATGTTTCTGATTTGAAAAATTTTATATGTAAACAGCTAGTGTTGTAATGATGTGGTTATGGCTGCTTGCAAAAACTCCTTTAGAAATCAATTGGCAGAGTTCCAGCAGGTTACAAGCTAATTGTTAGAGTTTTGCATTTGGAGTTTTTGGCAATTGGTAGAGTTTCAGTAGTCAAGAGGTTCCAGCAAGCAACTTTAGATGTG